ATTGTATTGGAAGTCCTAGTTAGGTAATTAGACAAGACAAGGAAATTAGGGGTATCCAAAAAGGAAAAGAAGAAGTTAAATTATCCATCTTTGCTGACTATATGATCCTATACTTCAAAAATCCAAGAGAATCTGTCAAAACTTTGCTTCCATTGATAAAAGACTTTGGCAAAGTCTCGGGGTACAAAATAAATGTGCAAAAGACAGTCGCATTCTTATACACCAACAACAAACAGGCAGAGAACAATAAAAAGCATAATCCCACTCACAATAGCCACACAAAAACAGAAACACCTCAGACAAGTAAAAGATCTTTGAATGAAGACCTTTGAATGAAAACTACAAAACACTGCTCAAAGAAATCCAAGAAGACGCAAACAAATGGAAAAATATTCCATGCTCATGGATATGAAGAATCAACATTGTTAAGATGTTCATCCTACCAAAGGCAATCTACAGATTCAATACCCATTAAATTACCAACATCATTCTTCTCAGAACTGGAAATGGCAATACAGAAATCCATAAGGAAACATAAATGACCAAAGCAATCCTTAGCAACAGAAACAAAGCAGTAGGTATCACACATCCAGACTTTAAATTTTACTATAAGTTTAAAATAATCAAAATAGCCTGGTATTGGTACAAGAACAGACATATGAACCAATGAAACAGAATGGAGATTCTGAAAGGAAAAACTCAATTTCTCAACCAATTCATCTTTGACAAAGTCTCCAACAACAACCACTGAGGGGAGGAGAACCTATTCAGTAAACGGTGTTGGGAAAACTGGCTGGCCATAGACAGAAGATTGAAACAGGACCCCTACCTATCACCATACACAAAAGTCAATTCTAAATGGATCAAAGACCCAAATGTAAAACCTCAAACTATAAGAATTTTAGAAAACACAGCAGACACCCTTACAAAATCAAACTAGGCAATCAACTCCTGATCAAAATTCCTGATGTTCATGTCATAAGAGATAAGACAGACAAGTGGAACCTTATTAAACTGAAAAGCTTCTGCGAAGCAAAAGAAACATCAAGAGACGGGAGACAGCACACAGAATGGTAAAAAATATTTGCCAACCATATTTCTGACAAAGGCCTGACATCTAGGATCTACAAGGAACTCAAATGTGCCGAAGGGAAAAAGACATACAGTCCCATTAAAAAGTGGGCAAAAGACATGAGCAGACGGTTCTCAAAAGAAGATATGTGGGCAGCCAACAGACACATGAAAAAGTGCTCAGTCTTACTAATCATCAGAGAAATGCAAATCAAAACCACACTGAGATACCACCTAACCCCAGTCAGAATGCCCATCATTAATAAAACAAGCAACTGCAGATGCTGGCGTGGATGTGGAGAAAAGGGAATGCTTCTACACTGCTAGTGGGAATGCAAACCAGTTCAACATCTGTGGAAAACAGTGTGGTGATTTCTAAAAGAACCAGAAATTGACCTTCCACACAACCCAGCAATCCCTCTACTGGGAATATACCCAGAGGAACTCAAATCATTCTACAAATAAAATACCTGCACAAGCATATTTATTGCAGCACTATTCACAATAGTAAAAACATAGAACAAATTGTGCTGCCTATTGAAACTGGACTGTATTTTTAAAATGTGTTACATATACATGATGGAATATTATGTAGCTATAAAGAAGGACAAACATGGACTTCTCAGCAACTTGCATGGAATTAGAGTCTATTATACTGAGTGATATATCACAGAAACAAAGAACAGAGTACCATATGTTCTCAGTCATAAGTGGACACTAGTATTGCATTGGATGTTCAAGGTCCATTATATGAGTGAGAACATGTGATATTCGGATTTTTGTTTTTGTGAGAGGTCACTCAGTATTATAGACTCTAGTTCCATCTAGGTTGCAGCGAAATTCATGATTTTGTTCTTTTTTATGGCTGCGTAGTATTCCATCGTGTATATGTACCACATTTTTTTAATCCAGTCCTCTTTTGATGGGCAGCATGGTTGTTTCCAGGTTCTTGCTATTGTGAACAATGCTGCGATAAACATACGTGTGCAGGTATCTTTTTTATAGAGTGATTTGTGTTCTTCAGGGTATATTCCCAGTAGGGGGATTGCAGGGTCATATGGAAGGTCAATTTTTAGAGCTTTTAGGAATCGCCACACTGCTTTCCACAGAGGTTGCACTAGTTTACACTCCCACCAACAGTGTAGAAGTGTTCCCTTTTCACCACACCCTCTCCAGCCGCTGTTATTTTTTGAGTTGTTGATACTGGGAAACTATGGGGGGGAGGGGGATGGGATTAACAGTAGCAAATATCTGTCGGGGGATGGGAAAACACTTCTTATCTACAGGGTGCCTGAATGAAACGTCATTGTACACCTAACCCTTAACTGTACCCCACAAAACCATAATAAAAAATACTGATTAATGAAAAAAAAAAAAAATCCTTGCTAAAAATAATCCCTATTTGACATTGGTTTCCCCTATATATTTCCTAATTGCTTCCCCAAAATGTATTGTATTGTTTTATGAACCCCAAGCCCCTTTCCTTTGTTAAAAATGGCATATAAGCTTGAGTCTAACCACCTCTTTGGGTTTCACTTGTTTTTTGTGAATTTCAATGCACATAAAATGCTAATAAAATTATATGCTTTCTAAAAAAAAAAAATAAGTGGACACTAAACATTTACCATAATATGATAAGAAAGGGACTGATAGTAGTGGGATATTGCCGGGGGTTGGAGAGGTGGGACACAGCATCAATAAGGGTACCTGATACCTCAAACCAGGCAAAGTGGGGACCACAGGGAGGTCCAAACTTTATCTGTATGCTATCTACTTGTATACCTAACCCTGAATTGTACCACACATCTTTAAAATAAAATTTATTTATATAAAAAGAAATGTACAACTCAAAGTCACAGAGCCGAAAAATAAAATAAAATAAAATAAAAATAAGACTGTATTTGGAAGAAGTTCCAGGATCATCCATCAGAAAGTTAGACTATATAAACTTATTTATCAACAATCAAATGCTTGTTATTGCCTTCAAACTTTGTAAGACCAAAGACTGAAGGTACTCTAATAAAATAAGCTAAATTTTATGGTATAAATTATATACCAGGAGCATGAACATAAGGATATTTAGAAAATTTACATAGTTAAATGGCCAATATCAGAAGGTTTGAAGACTTTTCTGAAAAATATTTTGGTTAAATTATTCTTTATAGACCTAACCTTCCATTTATCATACATTGACAGATACTTTTCCCTGCCTCAATATACTGTGGTAGTTAATAAATATTCTCAAGTCACATATATATATCTTATTCAAAAAGATAAATATCACATTTTTATAAGCATTAAAACAGACAATGTTTTCAAACTTCCTATGACTTAAGCTTGTCCCAAATCTATCAGCTTGCTCTTTTATGTTGCTATAAATTAATCCACCTCAACTGAGGTAATAAAATTACAATTAGAAATAATAAGCACCAATCATTTCTTCACTCACAAAGGGCTATAAAAGGGAGAAAAACATTCCCTTCAGCAATCTAATTGTGAGGGGGAAAAAACCCATAATGTCCATCTACACAAAATTGTAGGGTCAGATCTACTCAAAGCATTTAAACAGAAGAAAAAAATCTTACCAGCAGAGAGTGATAAAATCAATATGGTAATCTAAATAGAAAATATCTTTAGTGGTAAGTAAAAAGGAATTGTATAACAACTCTTGACTAATCTTAAAATTTTTCAATATCCTGAAATTTCTGCTACATTACTTATCTTAAATTTTAAATTAAAATAACCAAAGTTAGGACTAATCTGAAGAAAGAAGTCCTTTATAGTTTAAGCAAATGTCTAAAATATAAATTCCCCTCCTCCTACAAAAGTCTGGATAGAAAAAATTTCCACTGATACTGATTCTAAAATACTGAGATGTAATACACATGACTGTTACTCAGAATATTGAAGGTTAATGATTTAGACAGTATATTATGTATAAGAAGAAAAAGAAAAAGCCAGAGGTAGAATGCAAAATATTTGTGGACTGCCACCCTTCTTTTTCTCATCTCTATACTTCATTAAGCTGTGGTCAGATAGTGGTGATTTCTTATAAACCATTATCATTCAAGAAAATAAAATGAGAACTATCTTGTACTGTAGGCCAAAGACTGCTTGCTTCCATTTTTCATCTCCTTCAGTACTTGCTAATCTATGTAAATTTACTTCTCAAGGGATTTTCTTCTTATCATTAACATCAAATTTTCCTGTAATGTTCTTTTTCATTCACTGCGAAGAGTTTGTTGCCCAAATGATGAACAAACATCAGATTATTTTATAGAGTTAAATAACAAATTTTACTTCATCTTCAGGTAGATTATCATTTAAGTGGACATGTGTTATGTTCTAGGTCTTGTTGAATCCAACACTAGAAACACTGAAATGTAGTATATTGCAAATAAACTCTAATAATTTTTCCCATATGCATTCATAAAATTTCCTGTTTTTGATCATTAATATTTTGTTCTAAAACAGGAAGATCAAATTATCATCTTTGAAAATGTTAATCTTGGATGTTTAATGTTGCTCAACAGTTAGTACCAACATTTTGGATATCTAAAGCTAAACATTTAGAAGGTAGGATGTAACTGCCATGATCAAAAGTTGTGGAAATACCTTTATTATTCACTTGACTTTTAAATTCTAGGTCTGGGTTTTCAGTATCTTGGACTAGGAAAAAAAAATGTCATTGCTGAAGTGTTAGATTATAGCTAGAAGAACAAAGAATTTGATTGTTCCTCATTAGTAGACGACTGACTCTATATCAACTGTGCATTTTCTATGAACAAAACTATGATAAAAGTAAGCTTAAACATTAAATTACTTCTGGCTATTGAGATTATTTTTTAAAAAGCCTGTCAAGTTAACCTGAAACTTGCTGAGGAAATTTCGCTATACATTAAGATACTGTTTAACTCATATGTTCTTACCGTTCTCGGTTAAACTTAAGAGAATGAAGAATAGCTGGCCTTTTTTGTCTAAGGTTCCATAAATGAAGAGTATCATCCGAACTTGCACTGACCAAAGCACCCTAGAACAAAAAAGAAGATAAAACAAGTGTGTGAATAACTTAATTTGTGGTTTCTGTGAAACAGAAACAAGCAAATTTACCAAATTTTTCACTGTTCGAAAACTGAATGACTTATATATATATATATATATATATATCCTAAAAATACATGGAAGAACAAGTGCACATACTTCAACCAGGAAGGTTAAGAATGCTAAAACTGGAAGAGGCAAGTGACCTACCACATTTGGATGGTCAGAAAGACTAGTTCAAGAAATATTTATTTATTAATGGAGAGGATTAATTATTGCAGTATCATTGTGACCACTGAAGGATTTTTGGGGGTGAAAATAAAGTTTAATTATTTTTGTTTCTACTATCCACACAAATACTATATAGCTTTACAAAGAAGTGAATATTCAACTCAGTTTTATAAATTGAATGCAGGTCATATAAAAATTCTCCTTAGTAAAAATTTTCAGTGTATTTGGAAAGTATGCATTTTTCCTAAAAAGTATATTTGGCATAACTTAATTTGCTTCTTATAGTTCAAGAATCTTCATCTATTCTAAAGGAAAACATCTATAATAAAAGAAAATATTCCTGCAACTATACTTCAGTATAACCCATAAAAATCATACTAAGATTCTTTTTATACAATGCCACCAAATACAAATGAATATTATTTTAAATAAAATAGCATGTTTTCTACATTTTAATATGGCAAAAAGCTCCCCAACTATCATTAGTTGCTGAAAATGTCTATGTTTGCCCTATAATAGAGCCTAAAGCTAGAGCATTAAATGTGTTCTTCAAAAGTGATCCTTTTAGAACCATACTGGTCCTGAGATACCCAAAATGTTTTTCATATTTTCCAAATTATTTTGTTACAAGTGATCTTTAATAGTTTACAAAATCAATCACAGATATAAAAACGATTATCCCACTTGTATACTTTAGGAAGAACTATGTTGAAAGTTTTAGCATTTATTTTTTCTTTTGCAATTAGAAAAGAAAGGAAGCTAGGAATCTAAATGCCCTTCTGTAAGCCCAAAGGTAGTTTTTAAAGAAAATATAAATAATTAATCGAAATTATGCTACATAGCCACAATAACAGTATCAGTACATATAATCTTTTTAAAAAATTGAATAAATTCACCAATATAGGAGTTCAGTATTTTGTGACAAATGTGACCATAAATAATATTGTATATGAATATATTTAAGCATTTAGAATCATAATATTAAGAAGATTAAATCAATTAATACACTGTGTGTGGGGAGGTGTTTTAAATAGAAAAAAATTCCTTACCTCATTGATCAAAAATTGAAGCTGTAGAACAGCTGCACCACTTTCATGTTGGCAATAACAATCAACGCCAGGTCTCCCAAGTCTAATTTAATAGAAGTCAAGGATTCTGACATTTTAATTAGCACCAATATTAATTAGCAAAGGAGAAACTAACTTATTTATCAAAAGATTTTTTAGTTATCCTTATTTTTGGAAATAAGAAGTTAAAAAATATTAGTCTTAGATTGTGTCAGATTATAGCACAGATGTTTAATACTCCAGCAATTTGGGGGGGAAATGACATTAAGAAATTTGGGGCCAGGCAAGGTAGCTCACACCTATAATCCCAGCACTTTGGGAGGTGGAGTGTAGGAGGACTGCTTGAACCCAGGGTTCAAAACCAGTTTGGGCAACATAGCAAGACCTTGTCTGGCATGGTGGTGCATCCTTGTAGTCGCAGCTACTCGGGAGGCTAAGGCAGAAGGACTGCCTGAGCCTAGGAGGTCAAGGCAACAGTGAGTAATGATCATACCATTGTACTCCAGCCTGGGCAAGAGAATGAGACCCTGTCACAAACAAACAAACAAAACATTTACCTCAGTATCTCTTGTCATATACAACATGTCCAGCATTCAACATAAATTTGTGAGGCAGATAAACTCAAAAAGAAAAAATAAATAAATTTGAAAGGAAGCAGCTTTTTTCCAGTGAAGTGAAACAAGAGAATCCAGATACATTTCAGTTCACTTAAGATTTTTTTAATTGATCAAACATTTATTTCACTAAAATAAACTCAAAGTGAGTCAAAAATTGTAATGCAATAAATAAAATCATAAGATCGGTAAACAAAAAAGTTCATAGGTAAATATGTTGATAACCTTTGTATATAAAAAACCTTCTAAGCATAATTTAAAATTCATAGATTATAAAGAAATAAATTGATATGTGTGGCTACATAAAAATATAAAACATCCTCATGGAAAAACAGCACAAATAAGGTAAAAAGACCAAAAAAATGCTAGAAAATGAATAGTAAAATATTATTATGAGTTATCTACTTACATAAAGAAAGTTAAACAACACATAAGAAGAGAAATAGAGAAAAGAAAAAAGAAGAAGGGACATAGGTAGAAGAGAAGAATGCAAAAATACTATTTATCAAAATGTACTTGCGTATTTCATACCAAATAATATTATATACATAATTATTTCTGTATATTTATAACTTGTTTGCTTCCATAAAGATGTAAACTATATGAGAGCTTTCACTTCCAGTCATAATAAAGAAAGTTGGGTCATACAGACCCCCACCTTAAAGCAATTAAAAATCTAGACAACATTTATGTAATACATTTTCAGACATTGCTTATCAGGTAGGAAATGACAATGACCCTTGAAAGAAAAAATATATACATATAAAGTGAGTCTTAAAGTTGTCCCAGCTTACTGCCTAGAGAAAGTTTTCAAGCCACCGCACAGGAAGGAGAAACCCAGATGAGTTGAGGAGAAAATACTGACTGGGGAGGCTAGGGACAAATAAGTTCACAGGGTGAAGTAGCAAAGAAGAAAAAGTGACACATAAAAAGAACTCTAAAGGTCTGCAGGAGGGTCCCCCTTGAATCTTTAGTTTAAGTAATAATTAGTGAAAAAGTTTGAGGAAACTACCTGAGACTAGAAAGAACAAACCAAGAAAAACAACAACAACAAAACAATGTCCTTCTTATAAAACAAACCACAAACAAAGAACGTTTATATATGACCAAGAATTTTTCATATTCCCACCAGTGAAGGTGAAAACTGTCAGAATTCACATGGCATTATGCAAAGTACACTGAAGAATATTGCCTCAGTATTGGGAAAAATCTATCTATAAAATAAAGACTGCTCTGATCCTGCCTACCAATGCTTAAACCAGGTTACCAAAAGATCAAACTGTTTCCACATAACTGAGTACTACACCAAGATAAAGAATGCTTATGGAAATATGAGAAGCTCTAGCACACAAAAAGGGAAAATTCAAGAAGAATGGCATCCAATTAGACATGCAGAAAAAATAAAAGGTATATAACCCATAACAAGAAGAAAAATAAACTCATAAGAGAGACCCAGAAATAAAACAGGATAGAAATAATAGAAATATTAAAACATTTATTACACTATATTCCATATATTGAACAAGGTAAAAAGAAGATTAAGCATGTTAAGCAAATATAAGAAAGGTCTATCTAACTAAAATAGAAAAAAAAATTGAAAAAAATTTGAAGAATAGTGAACTTGAACATATATCAACAGAAACTATCCAAATGTAACACAGAGAATAAACTTGGCGGGGGGGGGTGTACAGAGAAGAACAGGATATCAATGAGCTGTGGATCAGTATAAAATGGCCTAATATAGTTGTAATTGGAGTTATGAAGGAGGGAAATGGGTGAGGGAGAGACAGAATTTTTTTTAAGTAATGACCAATTTTTTTCAAAAGTGAAAGTAAAATAAAGATATTTTTCAGACAAATAAAACCTAAAAAATTTATCACCAAAAGACCTGCACTAAAAGGAATGTTAAAAGAAGTCTTCAAGCAAAAGGAAAATGATGCTAAACGTATCTGGATACATAAAAAAAAAAAGATAAGAACATTGAGAATGATAAATATATGGGTAAATATGAAATACTTTACAATTATCTTTAAAAGATAATTAATTGAAGCAAAAATAATAATACATTTGTGGTTTATAAAATGATGTCAACAATAGCACAAAGGTCAGTCAGAGAGGAAATGGAAACTTTATTGTTATAAAAATTTTATGCTATTCATAAAGCAGTATAACATTAATTGAAGGTAAATTTGATAAGTTAAAGATTCATGCTATAAATTACAAGGCAGTCACTAAAAAGAAAAGTTTATACCTAATAAGTCAACAAAGGAGATAAAATGAAGCCATTAAAAACATTTAACAAAAAAATAAGAGAAAAAAGGAGGCACTAAGAACTAGTAAGATAAATAGGAAAAAAAATTAGAAGGTAGACTTAACTCCAACCATATAAATATCATACTAAATGCAAATGGTGCAAACACTCCAATTAAAATGCAGTGGTTGTCAGATCAGAAAAAAAAGCAAGACCCTAGTATATGCTGCCTACTGAACTGTCCTTTAAATATACATAAATAAGGTAAAAGTACAAACAGAAAATTATACATGTTAACATTAATGAAAGCATAGATGGGAAGATATATTAATATAAGACAAAATAGATCTCAGAATGCAGAATATTCTCACAGTTACAGATGGTCACTTCATAATGGTAAATGGGTCAATTCATTGCAAGAACATAAAAAATCCTAAACATTTATGAACCTAATAACAGAGCTTAAAATACATGATACAAAAATGTTAGAACCACAGGGAATAGATAAATCCCCAATTATAATTAAAGTTTTTAACATCCCTTTCTCAATAAATGATAAAAGATAGAAAACTAGCGGTGGCTCAGCCTGTAATCCCGTAATTTGGAAGGCTGAGGTGAGTGAATTGCCTGAGCCCGCGGGTTCGAGACCCGCCTGGGCAATTTGGCAAGACATCATCTCTACAATAAATAAAAAAATTAGCCGGGCATGGTAGTGCGCGCCTGTAGTTCCAGCTACTCGGAAGGCCGAGGCGGAAGGATTGCTGGAGCCCAGCAGGTCGAGGCTGCGGTGGCCGGGAGTGGCCGCTGCACTCCAGTCTGGTTGGCAGAGTGAGACTCCAACTCAAAAAACAAACAAAAAAAGTAACTGATGTTTTCATGAATCTATGTAATTCACCAATCTACCACATTTCTTGTGAAAATATACTAATGTTCCATAGCTATAATGAAAGAAAAATGTCCCCTATTTTTGTTCCTGGGGTACTATTTGGAAAGCAATGTCCTGTGATTTGGTTTGAAATTACATTAAAATAGAACAGTCCTCAGAATCTTACTGCACATATTCTGCAAAATATAAAAGGTAGATAGCCGGGCTTGAAGGCTCAGCCTGTAATCCCCCGCCTTTGGGAGGCTGAGGTGAGTGGATTGCCTGAGCCCGTGGGTTCGAGACCCGCCTGGGCAACTTGGTGAGACCTCATCCCTACAATAAATAAAAAATGAGCTGGGCGTGATAGCATGTGCCTGTAGTTCCAGTTACTTGGAAGGCTGAGGCGGAAGGATCGCTGGAGTCCGGCAGGCGAGGCTGCGTGGCCGGGAGCGGCCACTACACTCCAGTCTGGGTGACAGAGTGAGACTCCAACTCAAAAAAAAAAAAAAAAGATAGAAAACTGGTAAGAATGAAGAAGACTTAAGTAAAACACTGTCAATCAACTTGACTTGATTGATATTTATAGAACACACCACCCAACAAAAGCAGAATATATATTCTGCAAGAGAAACAATTACTATGAAAGAAAATATTTTGGGCTATAAAAAAGGTTCAGAAGCATTAAAATCATAAGGGGTATAGTCTCTGACTATGATAAAATTAAGTTAGAAATAAACAACAGATAAACAGAAAAATCATCAAATGTTTGAATATTCAATTACAGACTATTAAATGAGTGGTAATAAAATAAATAAGTAATAAAAATATAACACATCAAAAGTGTGGGATGCAGCTAAAAAGCACTTTTAGTAAAATGTACACCTTCCTTCTATTATTTATATTAGATTTACTTAATAAAAAGTCTATGCAAGCAAACGAAATAATGAACAGAGTGAACACACAACCTGCAGAATAGGAGAAAATACTGGCAAAGTATTCATCCAATAGAGAACTAATATCCAGAGTCTACAAGGAACTCAACAACAACAATAAACAAGTAACTCCATCTTAAAATAGACAACGGACATGAACTGACATTTCTCAAAAGGAGACATACGAGTAGCTAGCAAGTATATGAAAAAATGTTTAATATCACAAATCAAATAAAAGTAATTTAAAGCCAAAACAAGACATCATCTTATACCAGTCAGAATGCTATTATGAAAATGTCAAAAAGTAATATATGTTGGTGAAGATGTGGAGAAAAGGAAATGCTCATATGCTGTTGGTGGGAATGTAAATTAGTACAACCTCTATGGAAAACAGTATGGAGA